TAAATTCTAAAATTTTTTGTACGATATTAGCATAACAAGGGGTGTGCGATAGACGTGGTGCATCCTGGGCAACGTATATTCATACAGCAAAAAAGTCTATTAACTGGTAGTTGACTTCTGATTTCAAGATACCATGACTCCACTGTATGTCATATTCGTCCCCTTCCGCAGTACTCACCTCACCTTTTTTCTACCTTTGTGTCTGTCTCTTTTACATCTTTGGATCGCTCTTCTGTTCCCCACCCCTCGACTTTCTGCTACTTTGATGAACCTTCCCTCTGTAAAGCCCGAAGTCAGCTATATGGCTAATGATATCTATCAAAACGCCTGCCATTTGAAATAAATAAATAAATACATATTAGAATAACAATAAACACAGTTCTAGATAATACACAAATTTATTGAAGATCATTAAACAAAAGGAATAGCTCAAAAGACAATGTGGAGAGGAGGGGGAAGAGAAGAGGTGATTGAACAAACGTGTCAACTTCTCAAAGTATACCCGATTTGAGGAGCACATCAGAAATTAGCGAGGCCACAAAGTGGTTTTCCACTAATCTCATCATAGGCGACACAAATATCTGCTCAATATGCCATAACATTGAAAATAGAAAAAGTGGAAAAGAGTTTTGAAATGAATAGACCGTCACAGAAGCTTTAGAGAAGTTCCTTGATATCATCCTCAAAAGACTGGAAAAAAGTTTAAATTTAGGAGATGAGAACAGGAAAATGGTCGATAAAAGGCAGTGCTTACCAGAGGATCAGTCGTTGGTGCGTAGCGTTTTCGAGGGATGCCATCTCGATCAATAAGGAACTTGGTGAAATTCCATTTAATCGACCTACAAACGAAAGATTAAATGCATCAGAACACAGAGAAGAGGAAGACTTAAACGAAGTTCGACTTTACTTGGTCAAAATACCCCTAAGTTGGTTCTGAAGATAAAGGAAGAGAGGGTGAGCCGTGGAACCATTTACGTCAATTTTACTGAACAAATCAAATGTGATTCCGAAATTGTTGCGCACATTTTCTCTGATTTCAGCATTGCTTCCAGGTTCTTGGCTTTTAAACTGGTTACATGGAAACGCAAGAATACAGAGGCCCTGGCTGCTATATCGGGTATACAATTCTTGCAGCTGGGCGTAATTCTTTTTAGTTAAACCTCATTCGGTAGCAACGTTTACAACGAGTACTACCTTGCCCCTATACTTTTCCATAGAGACATTGTTTCCATCAATATCAAGAGCCTCGAATGTGTAAAACCCGGCTTCTGATGAAGCCTATAAATGATAAAGAGAGTTTTCAGAGATAAATTAAATCCAGTTATTATTAAATGAAAACAAAACAAATAAAGTAGTGCAGCAACCACACCACCCTACCATTTTGCAAAACTGAGAGATTGAGCTAAGTGGATGTAGACCTTGACTGAAGAAGATTGAAACAATTATTTACTTTGGCTTATTAAATTAACAATTCCAATTAAGTAAGTAGCTAGACTTTTGGAAGGAATACTAAAAATTATAAATTCACTCAAATATTAAATTTTCATTCATTTTCATGGAGTACATTGTAAATCATATCTTTACGCAAGTTTTCATTTGCTTAACCTCATTTCGATAGCATGTAACTTTTAAATAAAACGTATAAATTTGTTTCCAATGTTAAATATTTCACCTGCTCAGCTGTTGACGGGGTCGAATATAACAGGAAGTCGTTCCATGGTAGTTTGGAGTCAGAAGTTGACATGCCGGTTTGTAGACTTTTTTTGCCGTATGTATATACATTGCCCAGAGCGCATCCCGAGGAGGTAAGTCCGTCGCACATCCCATATACATCTATACGTTTTCTAAAAACAATGTTTTACTGAAAACAATGAATAAATAAATTAATTCTGGAAGTGTGTTTTTCTTCATGTCAATGACAATAAATATCCTTAACAAATGCAAATGTGCCATTTCAGTGAATATTGACTCCGAAATGATATGAATACATGTATTTGAATCCATTTAATTGGAGTAAAAGGATTTCACATCTTTTATATAACACTGATAAAGATTTCATTTGTTTTGATCTTATATTACCAGCTAGATTGAGGTTATTGACTTGAATTTGAAATATCTTCTCAATTGAAAATGACTTTAATTAATCACGGATTATCAATTATGAACATTATTTTAAACAAGCCTGCTCCAATGCATTTGCCTCGGGATTATTATTTGCTAAGGCAATAAAAATGAATTCAGACTATATCATCAATTAAAGCCATTAATGGGAGATTAAATAATGTGAATAAAAGTGAATGAAGTTATATTTTCCAATATATATTTGTCGAATACTTCGCCAAATCGTTTCAACTCTTAAAGAAAACCATACAAATGCAAAGGCTTAAATTTAAAATCAATTCAAGACCCATGTTAATGACAAAGTACTTGTATAAGTATTTATTCATATGAGTTAAAAATGTAAGTTCAACATGTAAGGATAGTAATGTCACAGACAAATGCTATTAAGATTAAGAAAATAAATAAGCATTCAATTTTTGAGACTTTTGTGAACAAATATGCTCAATTAATAAATTTAGCTTTTACACTTTTAGTTTCTGCAACATTTTCAAGGCGGTATGTACTCTATCTGACAGTGAGCGTTTCACATGTGCGTTGTAGTGTTCAGTACGAAGTGGCGTTTTTTTTATTTTTCATAATTATCTAACTATTTAATCCTCTTTCAGTTTCTCATAATTTAATTTTGTTTGCATCGATTTAGAGCTTTAAAAATAAGTGAAATGACAAAACGTCCTAAATCTGTAAATGAAGAATTCGTGAGCGGTGTACCCCCGAAAAAGGCTAAATTTGCTCAGCTAACTTCAAATCCAACAGGTAAACTCTAAATGTTCGGATTTTTATTGTTATTTAGATTTGAATTTTTTCCTTAGGCAAATCGAAGAATCAAATGAAGATATCATTAAGGAATACTTATCCGAATCTACTGGAGAAGAGCTCATCTCTCTTCTTGAAACCGGATTTGACAGGAAGTCCAATGAACTTGCTGTTATATTTAAAGTCCTAGCGACAATTATTATCCGGACTCGAAAGGACCTCAAGGAGGTCTATGGCGAAGTTGGCAGACGTTTAGCTGAAGGGGTCTTAGAGGATACACCCTTGTCGTTCTGTTTTCGTGCTCTCAAACCTCAAGGTAGTGCAGAGGCTGCCAAAGCTTCTCTTCAACTTCTTTCAGCAGTCGTTTCAGCTGACCCTCTCCTCCTTGGTCGCAGTCTTCTACGTAGTGTCAATTTTGAACACCCAGATTGGATTCAAGTCGCTCGTAGGCGCAATACTAAGGATGTAAATGATGTTCGGACGTGCTTTATCAACTTCGTTGCTTCTTTTCTGTTTTCTGATAACAATCTCCTTATTAGAGAAGTTCTTGAAGCCAAAAGTGAGTTATTGTGTTTAAATATTTTTGCTGAGTTTCGCTTATGCTAATATTCTCAGCTTTAGCTTCAAGCTTATTAGTTATATTTCATTTCAAGTAGGATATTTCAATGGTTATTGATTTTCTCTAGGGGCTAACTTTATTTGGGTTTCGGATAGTCTCCATTTGAATATCATATGTTCTAGTTTCATTTTTTAACATCGTCTTACCCACTAATATCCAGTCATCTTTATCTTTCCCGTTTTCAGATGCCATCAGTTTGCTCTTAAATGGCTGCTTTACTGATAAGACGGAGAACGTCCTACTAATTCTGAACCTTCTGCGTAAAAGCGTATGTGAGAATGTCACGGTTAGTAAAACAATCAAAATGCGAATCTTCACTCGTAATGTACTCAAACAACTTGGCTACCTCTATGCATATCGCGGTGAAGCACTCTCTGAAAAAGCTGCTCTGGCTCGCACTGATGCGGAAGTGGATATTCAGACTGTGGAGCTTGTTCGAGAATCTGTTCATAGTCTTCTGACACCCCTTGTCTCTTCGTCTGTACAAGGATTGGTCTTTAGGGAACGAGGATCTCTTGATATCGGAGGGTATGTTATATTTTCGGATGTCTGCTTGGGATACTATAGGAAGCGTTGTCTTTACTGGTAATTTTAGGTTGTTAAACAGTGACATTTAGTTTAGGTAAGTGTTTAGAAGCTGCAAATATAAATCAATAGCCATAAATGTGTTAATAACTAATGGAAAAGTTCATTTTCCCTCAGTGAATGCAACTATCTGGCCAAATATGGAATGAGTGTATTCTGATCATGACAATGACCACACCGATCTCATTATTATTGTGGATTTTTATGCCAACTTTTCCTTAAAGCAAATGAGTGAATTTCTCAGCAAGCACCGTTGCTTTAGTTATAGAACCTCAGTCGGTTTGTATCTTCCCTTTCTGTAGGAAGCAGAATGAGCATTTGTTGAACTTTCTTCTCTCACCACCAATGGAGAACCCGTTCACGGATAATATGCGTCGCCAACTTGTGTTAGATTGTCTTCTAGCTTGCCCATCCCTGTTTATTCCCTACATGGCACATCTCTCAACTTCTATGACTCCGAGGGATACTGAGAATTGGCATCATGTAATGATGTTCGTTAATCAGGTTAGTTTTAAATTCATTAAACAAAATGAAATGAAAAATTGTTCCGAATCAAAAACAAAAAAATCGATTTGTTCACTTATTTTAAGGCTAAAATTAGCTTACGGTATTGTCCAACTGTCTTCTCCATTATACGATTTTTATTTAGCTAAAATGAAATAGGAAATAGCAAGAAGTTTGTAAAGGTAGATTTATTGTTGTACTTGATTAGGCTTAACTACATTCTCAGAAATTAAGATCCACTTCGGGTCTTCGAACGATTCCCCAAATTTTAAGTTTCGGGGGGAGTAGGATGCGCATGCTCATTGGATCCGACAACAATTAGTGGCTTAGTACGTTATGAAAAGAAACGAAATGTGCTGGAAGTTTGACGATTCTCTTACTCTCCTTTAAGTTATACATCTCTCAGGTATTCGTCGAATGGTTTCTTTGTCTTTTGAACTCATTATTGCTAATGAGGTTAAAATCATCGGCCATGAATATGCTATGGCAGGTACAAAGGTGTAGAGGTTCAAGAAGAGCCTACAACTCTGCTCATTTTTGGTTATTATATTGGATGTCTTACAAATTGGAATTTATAGACGGCGTAACATGCTCTAAGTTTTGCCTTCTTCTAATCTAGCTATTTGAAGCATTTCAACCTCACCTCATTGCCCGTTTTTCGCAACTAATGGAGCTTTCTCAAGACATGTATCAGTTCGTCCAAAGCGTTGTGGACCTTTGTCTTCCGCCAAAATGCATTGTTGAAGTGCTAGACAAGGCTTCACAGCACGAATCTGCCTCTGTTAGCAAAACTGCTAACCCAATCTATAAAACCCTCAAGCAGAATATGCGCATCTTCCTAACCTGGCTTCTTACTACAGAAGAGCTCAAAGCTAAAGGGAGTTCGGCTCAGCCCATAATCGATTCTATCTCTGAGATTCTTCCAGAACGGATCGCCAATGATAAATGGTGCAAGAAATTTCGCAAAATCCTTCTAAAAGAGCAAACTGATTTATCCATCCTGAAATCCCAAATCCTTCCAACCACCTATGACCAAACCGAAGATGAAGTGGTTGAAGAAGTGGAGGAGCAACCTGAAGTTTCAAGACTTCCCCAGGTGGAGGAAGTGATACTTGCTCAATCGAAAAGTAAGCATCTCTTCATTGATCATTCAAAAGTCTTTTTATAGAACTCCGTTCCTGCTTTGAGGAAATTCAAAGTATTGTAAATGACTCCAATGTGAAAATGTCCGAGGAGTGTGAGAAAAAACTGGTCAAAAGGTGGTCCGATTTTACTGCAGCATGTCTTAATGTTTCTCGAAATTCTATCACCCTTTTCAACCACCTTGCAACTGCTCTTCGAGTTTTTGCAAAGAAATACTGGCAAGAAGGCTGTGATGAACTTACCCCAACGCCTAAAGATGTGCTAATTAAAATAGGGTCTACTGCTGTCTTTAAGAGTATACTTTTCGAGAAGCCTATTTTTGAACAGGTCGAGGGCAATGAACAGATTTCTATTCCTTCGCTTCCACTGAAAGGTACACTTATTAATTTTTCCAATAATTGCACCGATTAGTTGCATTTTTGAATTTGCTTCTGGCATTGGCCGAAGTGGATCCCAAGTCTACTGCAGGGAATGTGCCTACAGCAGCGCTTTTAGCCTCTTATAAAGCCAGTCTTTCTCTTTGTGGTAAGGTTGCCGCTTTTTTTCTTAATCCCCATTTTTCCCTAGATCGTCTTTGTTTACAGCTGCTTAATCTTTTGGATCAAAGTGGACATTCTCCAGCTATTACTTGGTAAGTTTTATGCTCTGGTAATTTAAAGCCTGATAAATCTCGAGTGTCGGTGAAGTCTCATTTTCTTGTTTGTAAACTCGATGAAATTATGTTTACGTCTCATGTTCTCGGCTGATGGTTTGTTGTGTAGCTATCAGAGGATTAATGCTTAGTAGCCTATAATGTGAGCCATTCTAGTAATTGAAGACAGTTATATTTTCACAGACCCATATATAATTGTTATCGGTGTTCAGTGTTCATTTTCACTGCTATTTATATTGAATTACAAGCCTCTTCTTTCTAATTCCTATTTGGCTTTGTTTTAGGGGTATGACCAATCGCAGCGTGTTATGGGGATCACGAATGATGGACAATTATCTTTTCGGCTCTACTCTTGCGGAGGCACCTCAATTGAGACGTGAACCCACTCCTGGTGCTTTTTTGAGTATTCTCGATGCGGATAAGCTCCTTAGCTGTGCGCTTAAATTCCCTGTCACACGACGATGTTTGGTATGTTCGCCAATTGAAAATCGTGAAGAGTAGTCCCATTCAAGCTCTATATCGCTTACTGAAATAGCAAATATAAGGGTCAATCAGTACTGTGTTTTATTTCCCTATAGCGCAAATTAGAATGATTGGATCTAGATTCACTGATATGAATGTGTAATAAAGCCAGCAACAACTCTCTAGTCACAGTAAAAATCTCATTTTTACTATGTTCTTAATTCGTGGCAGTTTAGAAAAGGAAAGCAATGCCACCATCGGTAATAGCGCTTAATCTCTATTTTTCCTGTCTAGAACCGAACAGATGCACCAGAAACAGGACAATTAGATGCGAATCAATATGATCCGTGCTTCCTTCTTCCACAATTTCTGCATTATTTGTCATCTGGTGCGTTTCTTCTCCAGCTGTATTTTTAATTGCCATATTTAATTTTTTTGATTCAATGAATGGCTGCCGTTTAACTTCCTTAGAGTCTTCTTTCGTAAACCTTTTTTTCATTGTAATTGATTTTAAATTTCCACTTAAGCCAGGAAATACTTAAAATAAACATTTAAAACATTAATATTCTTATTTATTCCTTACTTTGAGTTTTAAGATTATAATATAATGATTTCGATCGAGTAATGGAAGATTTTAAAGGACATTCCTTTATCAAACCTTTTCCTTATCAGTTTCGTCTATTTCAAATGGCGGGCGTTATGATATATATCATTAGCCCTTTAGTTGACTTCGGGCTTCACAGAAAGGAAGAGGAACATCAAAGTGAAAAAAGTCGAGATGGGGGAACAGAAGAATATTTCAAAGATGTAAAAGAGGCAGACACAAAGGTAGAAAAAGGTGGGGTGAGAATGTGGAAGTAGTCGAATATGACATCCAGTGGGCGGGTGGTAGTTAGAAGCCAGAAGTCAACTGCCGGTTAATAGACTTTTTTGCCTTCTGAGTAAACGTTGCCCAGGGTGCACCACGCGGAAGTAAGTCTATCGCACACCACC